GGAAGAGGCTCCAACGAGCAGTAACAGGTGAGTTGGTATCGCTGACTCGGTTAGGCCCGTGGGAGAGTCCTTCCCGTGTGAACTATTCTCCTGACCGGATAGGCTCACGATCACCACAATGAAGTGAGACAGTGTAGCGATGACGCCAAACCTTCGCTGGTCCCAAGTCAGAAAATCCGGGCTATACACCCAAGGGCCGATTTTTGCATCCATGCTTTATTGAAATGAAACTACTCGGGAAGGTTGACTTTCTGGGTGCATTCTATAACACGTCTTCCCAGGCGCGTTTAAATGAATAAAGTACCAGCATAGAGAATGAACCCCTACTAAGACAAAGCTATGAGAAAATTCGGGATAGAGTCTTAGACTGGGCTCCTTGGCGGCTTGAGCTATCATCATTCGGATTGAAAATCGTACTAACGATGAGGAGTATGTTGTGTGAGACTTACTCAGTAAGCCATGAGTTACATACCGTTGGCAAAGTAATTGCTGTCTGTGAGTATTGTGATGCAGCATGAAGGCATGCAGCGACAATATTGCACATCGCGAGTCATGCTGATATGTGATATGTGATCGTTGCTGTGCGATATTTTTTCATCGAGTTACGGGTGCGCATAGATACAGGGTTACGCTTCGAAGTCGTGCGACTGGTGGAAAGATGACCATTTTCTGGAACATGTAGATCGCGCACTTAAATCTACACCCGTGTGAAAGTAGGCGTTAGGGTTATGAATAGGACCCGAGACGTGGGTCCAAGTCCTCGGAGATACCTCCTGGGTCATGGATGCACTTTAATGCACTTTGTTCCGGTCTGTAGAGGACTACTTTACTCCTTGTGCCCTGACTTGGAAATAAGCACTTCTATTGGCCTCTGCAATCCAGGACCTGGGCACGGTTGCTGTCCATATTCAAGGCTTCAGCGGCGCTGATTCAGCGTAGGCTATTGCTGAAGAAGTCAACTTGACTTAGTCAAGAATGAACGTAGCGACGGCTGCGCGTCAGCAGCTGACCATCCAAGACGGAATGGTGTCAGCTGACCGTCAGCTGAGACCGTTCCGTCTTGGATGCGCGTCGATTCGTGCGGAGAACTGTCTCTCTTGAGGGTAGCCGTCGGTCTCTTTCAGCACGTATGCTCAGAGGGTTAGTGGTGACGCTGGTGGTATACTCTCAATAGTATTAAGACGTCTTAGTATATTGGATTTTACTTTTAAAATGGCGCTGGAGTTTCACGACTACCCGTTTTACGTGAAGTGGCGTCGTAAAACTCGGTGAAAAACGCGATAATCACCCTATGCAGTAGTCGTTGAATCACGGGTGAAACTCCAGTATACTCCACACTGTTGTAAATAGTGGCGTAATTTTTCTAATGAATTCGCGGCTCATTTGTTTCAAGACTATATTTTGTTTTAACCGCATCGTGCGGAGGTGCATTTCAACCTGGCCTCGCAGCCGATGGGAGCGCCACCAGGGGATTGGTTCGTGAAAAGTGGGTTGATTTACCTGTCGCCGAAATCGGCTTAAAAGAATTGGATTGTGTGACAACTCTTGGAACAGATCGTCGCTATTGATGTACTCGATCAGGATACAGTATGCTAAGGGTGTTACTCATATGATGCCTTCCGCAGCGGGGTCTAGAGAGGCCCTCAACAGAGCTCGAGCTCGGAGGTTGTCGGGGGACAGGTACGTATAGTGATGATGAAGTGTGAGGAGGTGTAGATGCACCATCTGTTAGGACGGCGGCGTGGTATGCTAATGCTCCGTCACCATATGCTACTCTGGCTAGAATACGTGCTGTAGAGACTTCGAGGCACTTCGTCAAGATGCGGTATAGGAGTGGAGATCATAGCGTTTCGGAAAAGTAAGTTTCGTGAGTAGTGTAGTGGCGTTTCAGTGTGTGAGGTTAGATATGTTCTTCCCGAAATTGCCGCGAAAAGTGTGCAGCAGGAGGCAGGACAAGAGATGCAGAGATCGCGGTTCCGATGTGATGCTCTGTTGAAGGACCTCGACCGTTGTAGAAAGGAACTAAAGAGGACCAAGGATCAATTCCATGTGAGGAGGATGTTATGTTGGCGTTTTACCCGTCCTTGTGAAAAACGCGATATGAAGTGAACTGAAAGCACTTACAGCAAATAATAGGGGAGAAATAACGACTTATTACGTGAAGTATCACTCGTTTAACGCGTTATTCACTGGGGTGAAATGTGAAATATGTTTCTCACCAGTGTTGTGTTTTGCATATCACGGCAACTCCATTTGGTCGGATGAAAGTTCAAGAAAAAATGGTATGACTTTTATTGCTGTTCAGGACGCCTTGGTTGCCTCCCAGGACTACAACTGGAATGCCAATAAGAAGTCCTACTTCGCCTCCTTTGAAATTCTCTCTGGTTAGTTCGACTGTCTCAGGTTAGCGCACCGAGATGATAAAGGAGGACACGCGGCCACACAGAAGGGCAAAAGTACGGCTTTCGGCCCTGAGGAAATCGATAAGGTGCGCGCCGACCACTCAATGGAGTTCACATTTCACGGTTGACCGATTTTTGTGATATAATGATGAAATGACTATACGATAGAAAATTTTGCGTGGATTCAGAATATGTAATCGTTTTTGTTTTCTTACCGAGTGTAGTAGCCTGCAAAGTGATTATGTATTACAACTCTTTTCGTTGTAGCGAAAAAGTTAGAGAATTAACAAGTATGCATTCAATGGCCTGGCACGGGGAATCGATGCTCAGTTTGGCTTCAGCTTATTGGTATCCTGACTTCGTGACACAGTGTACAGTCGTATCATTCTCTTATGCTGGTAGAAGTACTCGAATTGTACATACAATGGAGTTTCACCACCCTAGTGATATGAAAAACAACACTAGTGAAAAGCATATTTCACGACTACTGCATAGTGCAGATTTCGGGTTTTTCACAGAGTATTACGCCACTTCACGTAAGACGGATGAAACTCGAACGAATCACATGAAATTTGGTCGGCACTTAATCTTCTTGGGAGGCTACCCATTTGCAGGTACGCATCTTCATTGATCTGGCAGCAGAAGTATCACCACGAGAGAGGGCTCTGAGGGAGGCCGCGAAAATGTATAAAATCCCACTTTTTGATGCGGAAAATATATGGAAAAAATTCAAAAAAGTATGCGACTATTTTGTCGGCGTCATGCGATGGTTGGGTATTTTAGATTTGCGCTGAAGGCTCATCTACGATGACTAAAAACGAGTTCGAGATCCTTTTACTACAGCTTCTACGGGTAGGTTGAGGAGATCGGGCTTTTTGAGAAAACGTATAATGTCTTGAATCGGGGCTTTCACTGCTGCGGTCCAAGTGAATGAATCGTTATCTGTTTTTGATCCACTTATGTAAGTATAAACGTTTGTTGTTTCTATGGTCAGCTACACTACACTAGAGTTGTGAGATAGAGAGATGAATTATGCCTAGGAGAATATTCGAAGACTACGAAAGACAATTCCGGCGGAGTATTATTAATAGTTATATTATATTCAATTAACGGCGGAATAAGACTTATCCGTTTTGTAACGCTATCTAGTTGACCTTGGAACTCTCGAAATCGATTTGCTCGTGTTGTTGTTCAGGTGGCGGCCATTCGCCCTAGTAGGTTGGACGAATGGTGGCGTAGTTTGGATCGCCATAAAAAGGGTGAAGTTGGTTTTTGTTGAGTTCCTCCGATATTATTGGACTCGCCTTCGTGGGGTCTAACATGTGAATGCTGCTCATTGCTGTCTTCACCAGTGTCTGTTGTGTTCAATGAAGCTCATAATGGGGAGTTTATGATACATGT